GTATGAAAATGAAACAGATCAGGGGCAGCATCTTCAAAAGTCGTGTACAGCAATTAACATACAGTTTTAATGTGTGTTTTTTCAGAACCTCTTTTCCCAGCAGTCAACAAGCTACATGACCCAATTTGATTTTTAGGATTCTATTTTGGCACAAGATCCTCAAAAAATTAGTCCTATGACGGCACGATGGTGTTGTATGTTGACACAAAATTTGAAAAGCACTGTGCAACCAATGTAGCACATTATTTGTTTTAATATTTATCACCAAGTCCAATGTTAACTAAAAAAAAAGAAAAACGCTGCCAGTAAAATCTCACTCATGAATGTTTAATGAATTCTTAAAATGTAAGTAATGAAAATCTGTTCGGTTCAAGTTAAGATTTAATGTAAGTGATATGTAATCTTGAGGCATTTACACAGACTACTTGAATGCAACAGACTTGTTTATATGAGATGATGTGAGTTTATTAGTGGGTGATTGAGCTAAATAGAATTCTTTCTCTATAACGGATAAAAAAATACTTAGTTACATACATGTACGTATATAAAAGAAGTGTGGCTAATGAATACATCAGAGCGATAGTTTTTTAGATACAGATTTACAGATGTTTGTGAAGAATTATAAAATGACTGCTATTCATTTAATTATAAGTATGCTGGAAAACTTGTTACCTTGGTAACCATTCTTTGCTTTATATATATTGTAGGTATTAAGTCTTGTAGATCTCATTAGCTGTAGATCTCATTGGCTTATCCCTATTTTCCTGTCCAGCAAAGCTGTTGTTTCATAATGAAGAAAACTTATTTGTTATAATGGCAGCCATTTGTGCGTCTTACTCTTATGATCCAATTTCCTGTCTTGCGTGTATTCAACAGGAAAGATGATATGGTGGTGATATTTATTTAATTATTATGTAAATTTGCTTGAATATTTGGTTGTGAAACTGTATTTATTATAACTGTTTATTAGGTATCCACTTTTGAATAATTTTCTCATTCTTAAACAATTGTTGAATTCATTATCTACGCAACACACATTGATTCACAGTGATACACAGCAAAATTATGTTACACTAAAAATAGCAGGCTGAAAACACAACCATATTACATCAGTTAATGCAACATATTTCTTGATACCTTCGCAAGATTTTTTTTTTTTCCTGAGAGAAAACCGAGGCAAGGTAGGATCAATTGAAAACTGGCGTTTGCCCATACCAGTAAATGCATGGTGTCATCGGTAAAATATATACACCCAGCTTCTGTGTATAGTTAAATAATTCTGACAATCTCAAACTTAAATGCAAGAGTTATGCTTGATTTGTGATATTCCAGGCATATCTTTATGTATAAGTCTTGTGAAGATTGGTCGGGAAAATTATGTTCCCCAGTTGAATTACAAACAGTTTGATGACATATAAATAAATTATTGCTGTTTTCACTCATTTGTTGTTTTTCACGCTGAGCTAACTGCATTCTACGCCCTCTTATAGTAATCTTGAGTTTTATTGCGAGAGATTTGATGCATAGCCTCAGGGATATGCATTGCTACTAATATAGCAGCGTGTCTCCCATCATATTGGTGATGTAAATGCTACGGATTGACACAGAGAACCACTGCATAATATATTCACCAGTCTGGGAGACTCCATCAATAATGTATTTGGGGAAGGGGGCAGCAAAGGGAATTGAGACGTAAGAAAGAACAAAAACATAAATATAGTCATCAACTGTGATAGAAACAGTTTATGCTATCTCTAGTAGTAGAAAGTAATATTCTGATAAGGCAGGCAGATTTGACATGTATAATATTTCACATCTTTATGATTTAGAAATTAACATGCATTAAGCTTATCGGGAACGTATTATGTTCTTGTCGTCGGTATCAGAACAAGGTGATCCTACTCCCTGTGTATTTATATCTGAATGAAAATACAGTATATACCAGGTGACTAAATTTACAATTTGTACCATAATAAGTAGCCTATCAGATTACATAATAATTTTAGTACGTATACCTGTTAAATTACTTAATTCTGATTGGTTTCCATAGCAATCAGATAATTTATGGTTTTCATTATTTGTATTTTAGAATGTCAGACATTTATTCCAATTACCCGTACCAACTAGTAATTCTATCCTGACATGATAGTTATTATACGTTTCCAGGTGCCTTAGAAGTCATCTGACATTTGTATGGAATAAATTGTACAAAAGCTCCACGTGGCAATGCAGTAATTGGTCTCCCCCAACAATGGCTATAATTTGGTATTTTCTTGTGTATGGTTTTGAGAAGTATTATGTTTCATTAGCTCTGAGTTGGGCAAAATTAACTTGAAAAGATTGTGCGCAAAATATGAATATGATAGATGTACTTTTAAAAGGTATAATAAATTAATGTGCTGCCAAATTGAAGATGACATAGTGGAGGTATAAATATAAGTGATTATCTGTTCATCTGTTGTCAGTCAACAGTTAGGTTTTATTCTTCAATGTGGTAATAAGGCAAGATTGCTTTGATATGTTTGATACATTGGCCCCACCATCAGATTTGTCCATCTCATGATGTTATCACCAATTCCCAGTTTTTAGCAATTATTCTTGTCGTTTGGGGTCAAAAATGCTATTTCGACAATTTAACAAGTGCATGGTCGGTGGGTGATAGGATAAATCAAGTTGTTCGAGCTTAGAATTTTGCTTTATGTGCATAGATAGACAGAATGTTTGAATTATGTCATTCTAAAAATGATAAAACTGGCTTTGGCTTGCATTATATATAGGTTAATTTACATAAGTACAAAAGGTCCACTGTATGCTCTGTCATTTGTTCATTAATAATTTAATGCTCATCACATGACATTGAAATGATCATTCTGATGCATGTACAAGTACCAGTAGATATTTGGTCGAGAACCTTCATCAGAATCTACAATCACAACAGTTGTTAGAGGCTCTACTTGATATGGGTTTTGAATTGAAGCCTCATTCTTGGTCAACTTTTCCAGTAGATGAGTAGTTGTTGTCAACTTCACACATAATACTGTAAAATGACTAATTTTCACTGGGTTAAAATTTCCCAGATTTGCCATTTCAGGCATATTCAGTGGGTTTTAAATTCACTGTTTTATCATTTAGATAATGTGTTCTATGCTAAATTTTACATATTCACTGTGTTTTAATTTAGCACATTTTCCAGTCAGCGAAATAAGCAAAATTTAAAATCCAATGAATAATTAACCCTTTTACAGTATCTTGAAACTGCACAGTCTTTGCCAAAGTACTAGGTCTTACTTTAGCAGTTCACAAATAATGCACAGTTGTATGTACAGTTAACAAAGAGAGAAAAAAATAAAAGCAGTTTAAAATAGCAAGTATTTAATCCTTGCATTGATAGCCAGAACATATTTTGTCATGTCTCAATTTGATATTTGTCAGAGATAGAGAAAAACCTAATGCACAAAATTTGCTGACATTTGCCATTATGCTGTGATTCATTCAGGCTCCCAGTGAGTTGCTTGCAGCAAAAATACATGGATACTCATGGTCACAGCAAGATAGTCCCTCATGATCACATATCTTGCCAATTTGCAAGTGTGTGTATGTACAGTACGTCTCATTCAGTGTATCACAGCTGGTCACCTAGTATGTTGTTTACTTTACAGTTACTAAAATGTAGAACTGGACAATGCTTATATTGTAAACACCTAATAACATTGAAATGTGTGTATTGTACCCTTGGTTTTTCTGTGTTAGTGGGAAAATAATAGCAGCTTCCTCTTATTACTAAGGTATTTAATTATTCAGATCCTCATTGGTCATCAGAAATTTGATGGTATTTTTTCAAGATGCTGTAACTTGGCAAATAATTAGAATGGTCATGTGGCACTAGTTGCCGTTATGGACAAAATGTCCTTAGACAACCAATTGCTCATGTGTATTACTACCAGGTGATGCCTAGGTATTACTACCAGGTGATTCCTAGGTATTACTACCATATGATGCCTAGGCATAACTACCAGGTGATGCCCAGGTATTACTACCAGGTGATGCCTAGGTATAACTACCAGGTGATACCTAGGAATAACTACTAGGTGATGCCCAGGTATCACTACCAGGTGATTCCTAAGTATTGCTACCAGGTGATGCCTAGGTATAACTACCAGGTGATACCTAGGTATAACTACTAGGTGATGCCCAGGTATCACTACCAGGTGATGTCTAGGTATTACTACCAGGTGATTCCTTGGTATTACTACCAGGTGATGCCTAGGTATTACTACCAGGTGATGCCTAGGTATAACTACCAGGTGATGCTTAGGTATTACTACCAGGTGATGCCTAGGTCTCACTACTAGATGATGTCTAGGTATTACTACCAGGTGATTCCTAGGTATTACCACCAGGTGATGCCTAGGTATTACTACCAGATGATGCCTAAGTATTACTACCAGGTGATGCCCAGGTATCACTACCAGGTGATTCCTAGATATTACTACTAGGTGATGCCTAGGCATCACTACCAGGTGATTCCTAGATATTACTACCAGGTGATTCCTAGATATTACTACCAGGTGATGCCTAGGTATAACTACCAGGTGATGCCTAGGTATTACTACCAGGTGATTCCTAGATATCACTACCAGGTGATGCCTAGGTATAACTACTAGATGATGCCTAGGTATAACTACCAGGTGCTTCCAAGGTATTACCACCAGGTGATGCCTAGGTATTACCACCAGGTGATCACAAGGTGAAACTACCAGGTGATTCCTAGATATCACTACCAGGTGATTCCTAGGTATTACTACTAGATGATGCCTAGGTATAACTACCAGGTGCTTCCAAGGTATTACCACCAGGTGATGCCTAGGTATTACCACCAGGTGATCACAAGGTGAAACTACCAGGTGATGCCTAGGTATTACTACCAGGTGATGTCTAGGTATTACTACCAGGTGATTCCTAGGTATTACTACCAGGTGATTCCTATGTATTACTACCAGGTGATGCCTAGGTATAACTACCAGGTGATGCCTAGGTATAACTACCAGGTGATGCCTAGGTATTACTACCAGGTGATTCCTAGGTATTACTACCAGGTGATGCCTAGGTATAACTACCAGGTGATTCCAAGGTATTACTACCAGGTGATGCCTGATATAACTACCAGGTGATACCTAGGTATAACTACTAGGTTATGCCTAGGTATAACTACCAGGTGATGCTTAGGTATTACTACCAGGTGATGCCTAGGTCTCACTACTAGGTGATGTCTAGGTATTACTACTAGCTGATGTCTAGGTATTACTACCAGGTGATGTCTAGGTATTACTACCAGGTGATTCCTAGGTATTACTACCAGGTGATTCCTTGGTATTACTACCAGGTGATGCCTAGGTATAACTACCAGGTGATGCCTAGGTATTACTACCAGGTGATGCCTAGGTCTCACTACTAGATGATGTCTAGGTATTACTACCAGGTGATTCCTAGGTATTACCACCAGGTGATGCCTAGGTATTACTACCAGATGATGCCTAAGTATTACTACCAGGTGATGCCCAGGTATCACTACCAGGTGATTCCTAGATATTACTACTAGGTGATGCCTAGGTATCACTACCAGGTGATTCCTAGATATTACTACCAGGTGATTCCTAGATATTACTACCAGGTGATTCCTAGATATTACTACCAGGTGATGCCCAGGTATCACTACCAGGTGATTCCTAGGTATTACTACCAGGTGATTCCTAGGTATTACTACTAGATGATGCCTAGGTATAACTACCAGGTGATTCCAAGGTATTACTACCAGGTGATGCCTAGGTATTACCACCAGGTGATCACAAGGTGAAACTACCAGGTGATTCCTAGGTATTACTATCAGGTGATTCCTATGTATTACTACCAGGTGATGCCTAGGTATAACTACCAGGTGATGCCTAGGTATTACTACCAGGTGATTCCTAGGTATTACTACCAGGTGATGCCTAGGTATAACTACCAGGTGATTCCAAGGTATTACTACCAGGTGATTCCTTGGTATTACTACCAGGTGATCACAAGGTATTACCACCAGGTGATACCTAGGTATTACTATCAGGTGATTCCTATGTATTACCACCAGGTGATTCCTAGGTATAACTACCAGGTGATTCCTAGGTATTACTACCAGGTGATGCCTAGGTATAACTACCAGGTGATTCCAAGGTATTACCACCAGGTGATACCTAGGTATTACCACCAGGTGATCACAAAGCGAAACTACCAGGTGATGCCTAGGTATAACTACCAATTGATACCTGTGTATTACTACCAGGTGATGCCTAGGTATTACTACCAGGTGATTCCTAGGTATTACTACCAGGTGATGCCTAGGTATAACTACCAGGTGATGCCTAGGTAATACTACCAGGTGATGTCTAGGTATTACTACCAGGTGATTCCTAGGTATTACTACCAGGTGATTCCAAGGTATTACTACCAGGTGATTCCAAGGTATTACTACCAGGTGATTCCTAGGTATTAATACGAGGTGATGCCCAGATATTACTACCAGGAGATTCCTAGGTGTTACTACCAGGTGATGCCTAGGTATTACTACCAGGTGATGCCTAGGTATTACTACCAGGTGATTCATAGGTATAACTACCATGTGATGCCTAGGTATAACTACCATGTGATGCCTAGGTGTTACTACCATGTGATGCCTAGGTATTACTACCAGGTGATTCCTGGGTATACCTGGTATAACTGACATGATGTAAATTATAGATTTCAAGTTTTCATTCAATGTGTGGTCTGTAAGACTATGATATGTGGACACAGTTTGAATGTTGACATAGTGGAACATGCCATTGCCGATATTATTCAAGAGGAAATTAATGTTGTCTGTTGATACCTTTAAATGACAATTTGAAAAATAATATGAATATATGGACCAATTACTTTGATTTGATTTACCCTTCATCTCAAAACTGCACAATTTAAACAATATCAGTGCTAGCTGGCAATGTAGTGTTTAGTGTATGAAAATTTATGACATTGTCTCCAGCAAAAACTGTTCTGTCACTGTAAGTAGAAATTAGACGGCTTATTTTAGAAATCTATAGACCAATAATCTTATATTTGTTTTCACATTTTATTGATTAAAGCATTAATTCATATCAACCTCTCTGTCCCGGTTAAATTCCAGCATGCCTCGCATATATCACTCTAACATTGATTACTATGTGTGTGATTGATATGGGTTTGCAGTTTACGCATCATGTTTTTATTTATGGTCCTGCTTGTTAAGAATTGTATTAGGTGTCAGGCAACTGTTTAAAATTTAATATAAATGACTTCCTCTTGAAAAAAATTGTGATTTTATAAAATATCACACTTACTCCATCAAACTTTAGACACACATTTAACCTTTTCACCCCTGGACATTCTTGCCCAAATTTTTTTTTTATATTCTTCAATAAATCTGGAAATGAATTTTTGAGCCAACAAACAAAATTTAAGTCAATTTCAAGTTTTTACTCAAAAAAATTTGGATATTTTCGCCCCAAACTTTTGAAGGGAATTGCGGACTATAAACGGGACTATTTTGTGAATTTGTGATGAAAAGAGGGAACTGGTGGTGAAAAGGTTAAAGTGTTTGTTCTTTGAGAAAGTAACAGAAATGTTTTGTTTTTTTGTTCTGTACAAATTATTGAAATGCACCAGATGATTTCAAGTTGCAAAATATACTACGTATGCTCTGTTAGAAGTACATCTCCAGTAGGAATGCATTATATAAATCAAAAATTGCATGTGTTGTGCACTAAATCATTATAATATGACTTGTTTTTCTCATAGAAACACACCTGTAATCCTTAAATGCTACTAGTAGAGAAAATAGAATAGAGTAGAATAGAATGGAATAGAATAGAATAGAATAGAATAGAATAGAATAGAATAGAATAGAATAGAATAGAATAGAATAGAATAGAATAGAATAGAGTAGAATGGAATAGAATAGAATAGAATATTGCTTTATTGCAACGTTAAACAATGTTTGACAATTCTTTTTTAGTAGTTTCTACACATGTAGAAGAGAATAAAGCTAAATATGATACATGAGTATGGCAGTTGATGTAAAGGAATTATTTAACTTTTTACTCTATTGCAAGTTCAAATGTTGTGTGAACAATCAATGTATTTTACAGGCATTGTACAGTGTCTTGGGACCTATCACCAGGCAATGTGATGACTGTGGCACTCAGAACTGATAACAATCATATAACTCATAACGTTTTCAGTTCTATACACCGCCTGCAGGTCCCTAGACACCCAGAATACTTTTAATATGGTGTTTCAAGCTAAAAGAGGCACTTTAACCTTACACATTTCCTGCCATATCAAAAATTGGCTTTTTTATAAGGTTTTCACTTCTATGCTGCTTGGAAACAGGACTTCCCACATCAAAGGATTTTATCAGTAATCTTTGCTCTAAAATGAAATTGAATACTCTAAACTGCTTTAATTTCGCAAATTGGACGAATCAAAGAAAATTTATTGTGGTTTTGAGAATGAGAGATGCGATCAATGAATTTCGTGAAAATTAGTGTCAGTGAATGTCATAAAGAGGTTCTACTGAATTGAAGATTATTTATTTCATCTTTTTAAAGCTTTTAATGTTATGGGTTCATGCTGTCAGAATACCGAAAATGAAAAAAAAAAAAATCACAGAAAGTGGTTAAAATTTTACATTTTGTGCTGGTTTCTATGGTGAAAATATTTCTTTACCCCGGTATATCTAAAAATGTTACTGACATATATGAAAGAAATCATACATCATTATTGAATTGGAATGTTCAAAAAATTGAAGATTTTTTTTTAACTACGGGAAATTTCCTTCTATAATGGCATTGCATATTTATGTACAGTAATGTGCTAAAAGGTGCAAAATTTTGAATTCAACTCAAACTGCCTTAGTCGTCCGTCGTCCGTGTCAATGTTTTACTTTTTCGACTTCTTCTTGAAAACTACAAGCCTGAATGCTTTGATACTTGGTGTATATGTACCTTGGGTAGACCTCTCTCAGATTTGTTCATTTCATGATGATATCTTCAATTCTCTAATTTTGGTGAATATTTTTGTCATTTTTAGTAAAAAGTGAAATTTTCAACTTCTTGTTAAAAACCGCAAGTCCAATTGCTTTGATATTACATATATAGGTACTACATGTGGA